AATAGGAGGTCAGGTGGTGCGTTGTAACATAAGACTAAAAGGCGCGGGGCGCCCATGCATGACGCAGTAGAAACACGTTTAAATTAAAGGTCAGGTCAGAGCTCGTGACCCTGCAGTGGTAAAAAAAATGTCATTGTTGATTGTCATTGGGGACCAGTAGCCATGCATAAGGAAAGGCTGTAATGAACACCCGATGTCACTATCACTTTCATTCCTGGGAGTTCACTCAAGCGTCGGTGGATACACTGGTGACCCATCAGAGTTCACTCAAGGGTCGGTGGGTTCACTGGTGACCACCTCAGAGTTCATTCAAGGGTCGGTGGATCCACTGGTGACCCCCTTAGAGTTCACTCAAGGGTCGATGGGTTCACTGGTCACCCCGCAGAGTTCACTCAAGGGTCGGGGGGTTCACTGGTGACCGCCTCAGAGTTCATTCAAGGTCGGTGGGTCCACTGGTGACCCCCTCAGAGATCATTCAAGGGTCGATGGGTTCACTGGTGACCCCTCAGAGTTCAATCAAGGGTCGGTGGGTTCACTGGTGACACCCTTAGAGTTCACTCAAGGGTCGATGGGTTCACTGGTGACCCCCTCAGAGTTCAATCAGGGTCGGTGGGTTCACTGGTGACCGCCTTAGAGTTCACTCAAGGTCGGTGGGTCCACTGGTGACCCCCTCAGAGTTCATTCAAGGGTCGGTGGATCCACTGGGGACCCCCTTAGAGTTCACTCAAGGGTCGGTAGGTTCATAGGTGACCCCCCTCAAAGTTCACTCGTCAGTGGGTTCACTGGTGACCGCCTCAGAGTTCACTCAAGGTCGGTGGGTTCACTGGTGACCCATCAGAGTTCACTCAAGGGTCGGTGGGTTCACTGGTGACCCATGAGTGTTCACTCGTTGGTGGGTTCACTGGTGACCTCCTCAGAGTTCACTCAAGGTCGGTGGGTTCACTGGTGACCTATCAGAGTTCACTCAAGGTCGGTGGGTTCACTGGTGACCCATCAGAGTTCACTCAAGGTCGGTGGGTTCACTGGTGACCCATCAGAGTTCACTCAAGGTCGGTGGGTTCACTGGTGACCCATCAGAGTTCACTCAAGGTTGGTGGTTTCACTGGTGACCCATCAGAATTCACTCAAGGTCGGTGGGTTCACTGGTGACCCATCAGAGTTCACTCGTTGGTGGGTTCACTGGTGACCTCCTCAGAGTTCACTCAAGATCGGTTGGTTCCCTGGTGACCCCTCAGAGTTCATTCAAGGGTCGGTGGGTCCACTTGTGACCCCCTCAGAGTTCACTCAAGGTTCGGTTGGTTCACTGGTGACCCCCTCAAAGTTCACTCGTCGGTGGGTTCACTGGTGACCTTCTCAGAGTTCACTCAAGGTCGGTGGGTTCACTGGTGACCCCCTCAGAGTTCACTCAATGGTCGGTGGGTTCACTGGTGACCCCCTCAGAGTTCACTCAAGGGTCAATGGGTTCACGGGTGACCCCTCAGAGTTCATTCAAGGATCGGTGGGTCCACTGTTGACCCCCTCAGAGTTCACTCAAGTGTCGGTGGGTTCACTGGTGACCCCCTCAGAGTTCACTCAAGGGTCGGTGACGTTTCCTCTGGTCATCTGGAATCTCCTTTAGCGCAGTTGTGGGGAATTCTATTTCGTGAAATCATATTTCCTCCTCCTTCATCTCCCCCCCCCCTCCCCTACCTCTTGAAAAACAGGAAAAGCTGAGTGTTCGGGGGCAGCGGGGTTGAAGGGTTGGGCTTAAAATTTGATAAAATGTGTTATCATCTTGTCATGTGATCTTTATTATGTCTTCCTTGTCTAAAGTTTTCTGCGAAAAATTAAGTTACCGATTAAGTACAGTTGTACTGCTAGTGTACATTAGTTATGTTTGATATGTTTAGTGAACCAAGCGTTTGCTGCTTGCTGAGGGAATTAAAACAGTTTGAAGACTTTATGCCTATTATATGTTTTGTTTCGTATCGGGAAATTTGTTTGTAAGAAATTGATCGACGGAAATGTGATCGAATCATTTTTTTTCAGGTCGCACGTTAAAATTTTGCGTCAACTTTCTATTTGAGGGCATTATTTTGTTTTACTGTATAGCACTGTGCGTTCAAAAAAAAAAAAAAAAAAGAAATTTGACAAAAATCTATGAAATCCTTGTTCTTCAGTTATTTTTTAAAGTCTTTAAATGAAACCAGCACAATGTTTTTGTGTTTATCACCTTACTGTTTTTTCTATGTGTGTGTGTGACTTTCTTTGTGACGTCATCATTTCGTTGGACAGACAGCTGCACAGACGTTACAATGGTGTGTGTGGGGAGGGGGGTGGGGTGAGCCATTACACAAACTTTAACACGTTTGCTGCAGTGATTCCCAGTCTTTTCTTTTACCTCACGTCCCCAAACCACAGAGCTTTCCCCGACTGATCTACTAACACTGTTTAGATGCCCGCCCCTCCCCATTGGTGGAAAGAGGAAAAAAATGGTCTTAATGCTGCCTGTATTTGAGTTTTGCAGTCATTTAGGCCTTAAGATTCACGAGTGGAGGATAATACTTATAATAAATAAATGATATATATTTGTGTAGCAATATATGAAAAACATGAAGGTGGTTAGCTTGTACAAAAATCACTCATGTTTTAACACTACACACCCTTCCCCCGCCTCCACACATATTTTGAAACAAAAACATGTCTCATCTCTCAGAGTGTTGGCATAGCTTGTATTAGTGGCGGTCAAATATTTTAACCGTCCACTGTCACGAAAATTGTGTCCGGAGATGATGCCCCTCCATATTATTAGTGTTGCTCGGGGTGGACCGCTTCTCCAACCCCCCCTCCCCCCCCCAACCCGCCACACCAACCTTTCTTACGCCACCATCTACCAGACTATTATATGTCCTCCTATAATCTAAAACGTGCCTCCCTGTAAGGTGTACGGCAGTGTACGCCACAAGTTAGGGAACACTGGAATGCGTTGCTTTGATTTGATTGTATTTCTATGAATATTTCTTCTTTTTTTTTTTTATTCTTTTTTATTTATTTTATTGTTTTATTTTATTTTATTATTTTTATTTATTTTATTCTTCTGTTTTATTTTATTTATTTTATTGTTTTATTTTATTTTTGGGCGAGGGGGCTGAGAGCTCATTGTACATACACATATGGAGATATGGAGAGTGGGGTCCAAATGGACGGATGCATCAAAGGGGGACAATGTTGTCAAAGCGGTGATAACCGTAACAAAATACACACGATAACAAACTATTTTTCTTCCAGAACACATCAAAAAAGTGTCGTAAACAAACATTCTGTAGTTCATTTTTTTTTTCTCTTTTGATACTGGGTGTCTCAGGTGCTGACGTTTGCTGTGGTCTCAAGTTGTGTTGTTTCAAAATAGAAGACTTGACTTTTAATGCAATGTAGTTTTATACAGAAGACATTTGTTGTTTCATGGAGAAGAAATACTTGCGCATTGCGGAAACAATCCTTGTGTATTGAGGAAACAATCCGTGTGTATTGAGGAAACAATCCTTGTGTATTGAGGAAACAATCCCTGTGTATTGCGGAAACAATCCCTGTGTATTGAGGAAACAATCCCTGTGTATTGAGGAAACAATCACTGTGTATTGAGGAAACAATCCCTGTGTATTGAGGAAACAATCCTGTGTATTGAGGAAACAATCCTGTGTATTAAGCACCATTTTAAAAAAAAACCTCTTTAAAATGCAAGCTATAATATTACACATCACCCAGTTGGAGTCTAAACAGTCCACAAATTAATTTTCTTTCAAACCCAACATTTAACACAAAGGTTGGTGACACAAAACACAAAGGTTGGTGACACAAAACACAAAGGATGGTGACACAAAACACAAAGGATGGTGACACAAAACACAAAGGTTGGTGACACAAAACACAAAGGTTGGTGACACAAAACACAAAGGTTGGTGACACAAAACACAAAGGTTGGTGACACAAAACACAAAGGTTGGTGACATAAAACACAAAGGTTGGTGACACAAAACACAAAGGTTGGTGACACAAATCACAAAGGTTGGTGACACAAAACACAAAGGTTGGAGACACAAAACACAAAGGTTGGTGACACAAAACAGGAAGGTTGGTGAATCAAAACTGTATAAAAGACTCGTGGTAAGGGAGGTAATGTGAAAAGTTACCCTCAATGCTGGATGATTTCCTTAAACTTAATGGATTATGTCACCTAGTTAAACAAATAACTTCAGAAACAAACGACTTAACTCGCATATTTTATAGCCCACAACGCATTAGAAAAGTAATAAATATGGCATCACACAAGAGTTCTTTTAAACCGTACCTTGTAATAGTGCAGTCTTGTGTAACTTGGAGGCCTGTTGTTACTGTTTGCTTAAATGGGGATTTATTATGGCAATGTTTTAATGAATCAGGTATTAGCCTCATTAGGGTGGAGGGAGAGGTGGAGAGAGTGGTGGAGGGAGAGGTGGAGAGAGTGGTGGAGGGAGAGATGGAGAGAGTGGTGGAGGGAGAGATGGAGAGAGTGGTGGAGGGAGAGATGGAGAGAGTGGTGGAGGGAGAGATGGAGAGAGAGGTGGAGGGAGAGATGAACAGAGTGGTGAAGGGAGAGGTGAAGAGAGAGGTGGAGGGAGAGGTGAAAAGAGTGGTGGAGGGAGAGATGAAGAGAGTGATGGAGGGAGAGATAGTTTAACTTGGCCATATGATAGGCTGTGTTCATGTTATGCATCATGTTTTATATTGTATGTGATCCATTAAACTTATGTAATCTGTTTATTATGGGATGCTTATAATCCATTGTAAATAAAAACAATATATTATCCTTTGGGTTCATGTGATCCACTATATTGATTGTGCATTCATACATATTATAAGAACTTAAAATGGTGTAAAGGTTGAGCAGATGCAGTAGCAAGAGTTTAAAAATGATGACAGGACAACAAATTGGTCGCAGCACAAAGCAATGTCATTACAAACACCATTTAATTGATAAATCAAGTATTTATTTACATTTAAAATGCTATTTTCTTTACCCCACATGTCAGAAACACATTGAAATATATTATAAGCTAACAAATGAAGACTGGAAAAATTGACATATTTTAAAAAGAAAGCTTTGTTGCCTGTTGTGAGACTATACCCTTTGGGAATCTAAAACCTTTTGTGAGGTAATGAAAAATGGAAGTGTCCTTTTATAAGTTATAGATATTTATTTTTTAAATACATTTTTTACATTTTAAACACTTATTTACATTTTAAACACATATAAATAATTACATAATCAGTTTGTGCATTTTAAATAAATTATTAAACACCTGAGACTAAAATTTAAAAAAAAAAAAATTATTAGTAGTAGTAGTAGAAGGTCATGGTTATTCAATAACTTTAGGGTAATGTAGATAAGTCTTCAATGCAATTTATTTTTTGTTTTGAAAAGTAGAGGGACTCCTGCGAGGAGCTGAATCATTTTTATTTATTTTCAATACAGAAAAAAGTCTATAGGAAAAATAATGAAAGGTTCATTCTTCAACAAAACACACACAAAAAATGAAGACAAGTGGGGAAAGGGGACACCAAAACATAAGAGTATTGAAGAGTTTACCATAATCTAAACATCTGTAAGAAGGTTGTTAAAACTAAAAGTGGAGCACATTCATTGTGCATTCTGGTTCTATTTAATTTAGACTACAGCATTTTGGCCAAATTGTCAAAAGTTATATAAATAAGTTTGAAATAAAATTAACACCTTGAAAAAATGTAGAACACTTTCTTTTTTTTTTTTACCATTTGCTCACAGGAGGATAACGAGTTCTGACTCACAATTCTCTTGCTCAAAAATAACAAATACAAGGTAGCTAACAAAATCAAAGGAGAAATTTGGTGCAGATATAAAACTAACTCCTTGAGTTGAGTAATATTGAATACCAGCAAACAAAGATCTTGGTATCTGTGTGTCAACTCCTTATAGTCACTAGTAGCATCTTAACCATAAGTGTATTATTTTTACTATTGGTCCTATTTAAAACTATTTAATTTTTTTAAAAATAATTAGCTAAACAGCTTTATATTGTCTAGTTGCTTGTACCTCTAGTAATTTTTTAATAAAGTTTTTTTTACAATTAATTTTTTTTTCTATGAGATTTTAATTAATTTTTTTTTAAATAGTTTGATATGTTATTGTTGTTCTTTTTATTTCCCTACTCTATACAGCACACTCATAAATAAAATGATGTCATTTAATGAATATTTGATACAGATGTGAGCTATGTGCTGGCAAAGACACCAGTGTGCTGGCAAAGATGCTGTGGTTACTTTTTAATCAAATTTTTGTTGATTCTGCCAATGTCAACAAAATCCAAGTCCCGCGACCTGGAGTCCAGCGTAACATTGAAGCCTGTGTTGATGTCACATGAACTGTGAACTGCCCCCGGCCACTGAAGTTTCAGTAATGATGGTGTCATGACCAGACCGCCAGAGCTCCCATTGCATGCCGGCGCATCATAGTATTTCTTGACCTTGATTCCATCACTGTCCTCAATTTCTTTCCTCACGCGGCCGAGTGTGATTCTTTTAGGCATGCCATGGGGATGTGAGATCAGAGCCACCCAGCTCTCCTTGTTCACCAGGCCGTGAGCATGCTGGGCTCTGATGGTGCTCCTGAGCATCTCTTTGTAGCTCGACTTTGCATTTGCCAACACCACGGGTAACACGTTGAACACATTTTTGTCATGTGACATCACATGGAGGGTCATGTGATCTTGAGAGCTGTTGACTCCCACAATGGCAGCCACATGTCCATTCACAACACCCTGACCATCGGGCCCGACAAAGAAAAATTTCACAAATGCGTTGTCGGCTTCAGACTTGTCAAATATTACGTGTCTGCTTGTGTGTACCGTGACACCTCCGTAGAAGAAATGTTTCTGAATAGTATTTGGTTTATCAGGGCTGTTTGTGTTCGGGGAACTTAGGTTTGCATTCATATCAAACGATGAGCTTCTGTCGAAAGATGTGTTCGGGCTGCTCATTGTGCTTGAGTCCAGGTGTTCAGAGGCAAAGAAGCAATTGTCTCTTTTACATCTTAATTTCATTATTTGTTCATCTACAGCGCCAACAAAACCAGAGCCATATCTGGTTTTATTCGTATTGATAAATTCACTGTATTCATCTTTAGGGCCTCGGGCTGCACTTGTGTAGGTGACGGTAATTTGCACAACTAATTGTGATATGCAGTTGAAAAATGTAAGGCTGTCTTCATTCTGGATTTCTCTAGGCAAATTTTTCACCTTTAAAAACAATGTATAAATGTGGGTTAGTGTAAAAAAAATAACATCTTAAGGATACATTTATGAGTTTATATGTAAATTATTTTGTTGTTAAAATGTTTATGAATATTAATTACACTTTGAAATATTTTAATCTTAAAAACCGTATGATGTGGAAGTAAATCCTTGTGGGTGCAAACATTACATGATCCATGGTTAAAATGAACCATTTTTAGATAAGTAAAATATAGCAACTATAAAAAAAATATTACAATATCTTGCAATAAAAATTATTTTCAAATTTTTACATAAATTTTCTAAAGACCAAATGGAGTCAAGATCCTAAACATAATAATAATTACCTGTAAAGTTTGTGGGACATAAAAGCCCCCGTGTCCAGGATTCACTTCACAGCTATTATATTCCACTAGTCTTGGATCTTGGTTATTCATGCCAGAAAAGCTGAATCTGTCACAGTTTCTTTTATAATCACTTCTTTTTTCAAATGCCCCCTTCTCATGGTCTTCTTGTGAGTTTGAAAGGACCAGTTCGTAGCTGTCTGGCTCACCTTCTTCATGCTTATTAAATGCTTCGGAACATTGAGTTCCAGACTGAACAGACGAGATGGTGTCAGTGCTACCAATCTGCTGTGCATAAATTTGGCTTCTTTTACTTCCAGTTGTGTTCACCATAGAACCAGTGCTCCCACCAGCTGACTGTGAAATGGTGTTAGCAGAGCCCCCAGTATCCTCAGTTGGTAAACCAAAGTCTTTCATAGAGTCCAGGGTCGCATATGAGTATTTTTGAATTATTTCCCCTAAACTTTCTAAATTGTCACCAACAGTTGAAGATGAGCTCCCAGAGGAAACAATATTGATTGGCAAAGACCAGCTGTCTAACCCAGACGGTTGGGAGTCTTGCTGTGGTTGTGTTTCGAATAGTGACTTGAGACCTTCCGGATCGAATGATGGAAGATTTTCAGGTTCTCTGTAGGACCACTGTCTGGGCTTTTTCCTAGGCGCTGTTGATATTTTCCTAGAGTCATGATTTAAATCACTCTTTAAAAATTCTTCATTTGTAATTCTGTCATCCTCTCTTGAAATCTCATCACTGTCGTCTCGTTTCAATGACCTTTTTTTTGAGGGCCTTATTGAGGAAATGGTATCTCCTGGATCCATTCTTAAATAGGTTGAATTAACAAATGATTTTTATGAGTGTCTTCAGATAACTTTCAACAATGAGCTTTGACAAAAATGGATTTATTTGCTCAACAAAACTGACCATGAAAAGAATCTGTGAACAAAATTAAGAAAATATAATATTATTTATTTTTAAAAGTTTTGAATGGACAGAATTGCGGGTAAAATAAACCAATACTTGGGTATCTTAATCAGTGCAGAAGTTACAGGAGGAGAAGAGTCCAGATATTCATTGCTAGGAGGTATATGCAACAAAAAAAAAGTAACTTACAAAAATATATGTCATAACTTAATGAACCCTAAGAGTTTAATCTTTATTATTCTCACCACCTCATTAATGCTGTGACGGATGAACCTTTGGGTAAGATGTCAAGTGTCAGACTGAATAGTTTGGATGGTGGATAGGACAAGTGTTTGTTTACTTTTTGCACAGTTGAAGGAGACAGTAGTGAGATCAGTAAACATCATTTATAAATTCCAAAAAGCAAACATCATTTATGAATTCCAAAAAGCAAACATCATTTATGAATTCCAAAAAGCAAATATCATTTATGAATTACAAAAGCCAAACAGAAAAGATGTTTATAAATTATTGCAATTACTTATCTTTCGAAACCAATTATAATAGGTCAGTGGTTTTCCACCATCATGTAATGTTGCAACACTGTGCTCTATCATGCAATCTTAACATGTGTCTTGCAAGCTATTGATATTTAAATTTATGGAACATGGTGTAAATTTATTTATTGTACTTTGGTTTGAGGGGGGGGGGTTGCATTTAACCTACAAATGTTAACAGAGGGTCGGTCATTTGAGGCAATATTTCGCTTGTTATAAAACCCATCTAGTCTAGTCTAGTTTAATAATGCTAATTTGCTCAGTTGTCAATATTTTTCTTACTATTGTGTAAGATTTTGTGTGTACCATTTAGTAAACAACTTTAGTGTGTTGCCATATTTTAAAAATGGTTGAAAACTTGTGCATTAAAGAATGCACAATTCATTATCAAACCTCTCAATAAAACCATGAACAATGGTAAGACTCCTCTAAATGTCTGTTGTACCCTGTAACTAGGGGTGTGCCGGATCCGTTTTTTCCAACCGGATCCGGATTTTCTTATGCGAAATCCGCCGGATCCGGATTCCGGAGTAATCCAGGTTCCGGTTTCTCCCGGATTCCGGTACTATTGACTATTGGCCACTATTAGCGGTGCTGACTCTAGCCTCTGGTATGTTCGGAATATTAAACATTAAACAAGCTCAACGCTCGAAACAATCGATTAATGTATCGTGATCGTGTGGAATTCGGGAAAGAGAATTACTTTTATTTCAGATTATGATCCGGTGAGTCACAAAATCTGGCAAAATCCGGTATATTCCGGATGTTCCGGATACATGTAAATCCGGCGGAACCGGATTTCACCGGATAGTGCAAAATCCGGCGGAACCGGATTCCGGACCGGATTCCGGCACACCCCTACCTGTAACAATGGTCAGTCTCATCTAAATTTCTGTTGTACCCTGTACAATTCATATCTTATATTGTAGGTCTGTAATTATTTCATCAACATTTTCCATTTATTGTAAAAAAATGTAAACTTGTTATTTTAACAAACTATTCAAACTTATTATTTCAACAAACTATTCAAGGGTGTTATTTTAACAAACTATTCAAACTTGTTATTCCAACAGATAAGATCACAAATTGTAAACCATAAAGACTGACACCATGCAGCCCATAAATCAAACTTTGCCTATCTTTATGCCTATAAATTATAAATTAAACTAGTTTCTCAGACTCATTATCCAAATTCAAACAAAAAAATCTTTCAAAGTGAAATTTTTAAAATGTCAAAATAAGCGTTAACAATCCCCCCCCCCCCAAAAAAAACTTTCCAAAGGAAATTTTTAAAAATTCAAAAAAAGCGTTAACAAACCCCCCCCCCCCCGACACACACACATACACACAAATTTGTAATTGAAAACCAGACACCCTTGTCAAAAATTCTTGACCCCCCCCCCTCCCCTTTCCTAGATGTGTGATGAAATATATGGATGGCCCCTTAGTAATCTATTGGATGTCCCTCAATGTTACAATAAACTAATAACTACGGTATGTGTAATGGACCACGTTTTTTTTATTTATCTTAGAGTAAGCTTGATTTTTCTACTAGTAACTAAATGTGGTTTATTGTAGAAAACTGAATGAAATTATATTAAAACTACAACACAGTGATCCACAATTCAACGGTGCCATACAGTCACCATACAGTCATACTACAGTAGTCTATACAGACAAAAACTCAATAATTAGAATATGAACGTACCGCCTAACTGATCAACATGATTCATAGATTTATTAATAGACAAGATTTTCTTCATGATTTGATTAGACCTATCCTGGTTAGCCCCTATACATTATAAAAAAACCAATAAAATATTAATATCTACAGTATATTTGTAAATTAAGCTAAGCAATGCCAATCCAATTTTATTGCTACTTAGACAATCCAACGTCAATGAATGATGACTTGGTGAATCTCCAAAAAGATTCTTAATTGGCTGAAGATTTAAACCTATCACATAACTAATGATTTGGAATTATTATTTACATAGTTATTATAATAGGCTTACATACAGCCTACACACATTTTTCATTTTCAGTACACCACTGGCAAGTTCAAAGAAAGGAAGGAGGGGTCCGCCTTGGCAACACTTTTTTTTTTTCTACGTCGGAATGAGTGGCATTTTCGGAAAAACCAAATGTAAAGAAAGGGATTTGAAGATGCAAGGCATAATTTTATTTTACCATCAATCACTACACATGTGAGATACTGGAACTCGGAAAAAATTGGCTCAGTTCTACACAGTGTTTTTAGCCTAATTATTCTACCCAATTAAACAGAAATATTAGGAGGAAAAAAATGAGTTAAGTGGAACAAAACAAGCCATGAGCTAGGAGTGGGGGGGGGGGGATGGATTAGTCCATAAATGGTATTTGCGATCCATTTTCTTTTTATGACCAGGGGTGACATGAAATAAAAAGGTCAATGTAGGCAGAAGTAGCAGCTGGAGTAATTTAGACCTACACTAAAGAAAAAAATGAGTTAAGTGGAACAAAACAAGCCATGAGCTAGGAGTGGGGGGGGGGGATGGATTAGTCCATAAATGGTATTTGCGATCCATTTTCTTTTGATGACCAGGGGTGACATGAAATAAAAAGGTCAATGTAGGCAGAAGTAGCAGCTGGAGTAATTTAGACCTACACTAACACACACAAACAATTAAAATCAATTTTCACATATATTAAGACTTTTAACATAAGGAGAAATACAACTTCCAGAAGTTAGGATCTGGGATAAGCAGACATTTAATAAAGATACACTTACAGGTTATTTTTAAATGCAGCCATTGTGATTTTATGCATATAATTGTAAGTACAGTTTATTTTTAGTCTAAGTCTTAGATCAAGAAATCTTTTTAATAATGATTTTATTTTATGCCACCCCTCAGAAATTGTTGCCCAAAAACATGGTTTTGTTTGGTCTTATAGTTAATGCCCCACTGAAATTATGACCTTTAAAATTGCTGGCAATCTCATTTTTCATTCGTATGATGCATGGTCAAAAAAGGGGTTTTTGGCTGTAGGTACAATCAACATAGGGACACATAGCTGTCAATTTATTCTCCATAGATAGTGATTGTAGTACATCCAGGGCTGGGGCTCCTTGAGCCCGTAGACTAAAAAATGAACATGTAGTCAATTTAGTATTAATGATGACAATAATATAAAGATGTAATCAAACGTGGAACCCAATACCCCTAAATGATTGCATTTTTTAAAAATTATTCACAAGCCATAATTGACAACCTCTTCTTTAGCCACTCAGCCATGTTATATGTTGTTGGTTTTTTGTGATATTAAGTGCCTGTATGTCATATTATCAACTTTAAAAATGAAAATACTAGTGAAGAACTTTTAAAAAATAAAGATTTTAATTTTACTTTTACTATGAACAGTGAATATTGGATATAACTCAAATTCAAATCCTTGAGAGTTAAGCAAATTTGTTGCTATTTGCAGGTTCATCTCCTGTTAAAAAATAATAAGGTTTGGGACGAGTTAGTGCATAGACCATGAACAGCGTTATTTTATGGTTAATTATTTCCAGGTTTCACTTGCCAAAAGCACTGTTTTTGGGTGGGGTGGGGCAAACCAACAGTCCACCCAAGACAGCACCATGCCTCGATATGGCTATGCCACTGCCCCTAGCTAGCCAGTCATAAATATAATGACTCTGTCTATAGTAATAGTAGTTAGTCTAAGTTAGTTTTAGTAGTGCTAGGCCTTGAATTTATTTAATTTAATGATAAAGTGATAAAGTCACTGTCACTGACTGTCACTGGTGTCTAATTTCTAAAAAGATCCATATTTACTACAAGTAAAAGACGTCGTCGATAAATGACTAATCTGACTTAAAACTTTTTAATTTAGGCGAGAAACTCTTCGTCTAAAAGTAAAGGTTAAGTAGTAAAAGTAAAAGGTAAATTAAGTAATTAAGCCAGGAATTAGACTAGTCTAGTTGTTAGGAATAAATTAAATAATATACTGAATTCTTATCCGGCTTCTTTATCAACAAACCTTTGCTTGGGAGAAAAAACTCAACGCAATAAGTTTCACTAAGTCGTTCCAGTAACTTCGTCGCTTCAACTAATTGATAATAACACACTAGACAGGACTAGTCTTTTTGGGTAAACGGAAGATCTGGCCGAAACCAACCAGAGAAGATTAATTATTTTCACTGTAACTGGTATTTCCTGTTAGACTCCCGATGCTGTTTTCTGTCTGCGGGGTTTCCCAATTCAAGAAATTTCCAATAAAATAATTGCCTTACAGTGCAGCTAGCCTACTTAACATTAACATTGATATAATAGTCGTCATTGTGTACACTCAACCGTAAAGTAAATTGAGTGGGAATGTAAATATACACACTGACACTGTACTTGTGCAGTTACCGTAGCCGTAGCCTATGCCATCTAAAATACCGTCTCAGTCTACTAGTCTAGTAACTAGTAGTACTAGTAGGCCTACTAGTAGTGTAATTTAGAATTAAGGCTCTATTACTACTACTTCAGACTGTGAGTGACTGTCTTTGCCCTGGCCCTAGTCATGCCTCTTCCTTACTGAATCTTTACCCATACTCAAACTACTGTACTGAACCTTATACACAGCCGCCTTAATTATTAATAAGTAACAATGTCAAAACCAAGGACCTAAACCCTAACGCCTACCAACAATAACAAAGTAAAGGACAAAAAATAGAAAGAGGTTGATATCAGACTCTTGGGTTGAAAAGCCCCAAACATATATGTGCTACTTATCGCAAATCATCGAATCTGGGGTTCAGGATGAAAGTGATTGATTCAATCAGCATCTCCCTACTCCTTTCTTTCTTGAAGAGAGAGTTCAGCATCTTTTTAATTGTTCTCCTGTCGTTCTCTTCTTAAACCTTAATATTCTCTCTACCGAAATTCCCCATTGGTCTGATTTTAAAAGTACTTTTCCAATTGCTGGTTCCACCAAGGGACAGCGCTTCTCGTGCAGAAAGAATCTTTTAATGCATCTAGATTGGTCACCACTCTGGCAAGAGTAAAGCATTTAGTCTACAGATAATGCCGTGTAAGATTGACTTCCTCAAGTAGATCAGCCCAAAGGTAAACGTAGCAGCATGTAAAATGTGCTGAATAGCAATAATTGTGCTCAAATATTAAAAGGGGGGGGGGGGTACAAGTGGCGAATCAGCGAACATATTTACTTTCCAGCATTTCTGGGTTTCGATATATTTGGTTTCAAAAACCCTTTTTATTACATTTGTCATTTGAATACATTTAAATTGATTATTAAAATAAAATTGTAAAAAATATAATTTTGTTAACCTTATATATTGGTAAAAAGTAATTTCTTTAATGTTTTTAATTTGTACAGATTTTACTCGTGTACTGACAACGCCCGACAACACATTCTTTGGTATCAATAGAAAGCCATATTTCTCAGAATTTAGATAAATATAGCTTCCTGTCACTTACGAAAGTTACCGAACACTTCAATTGGCGTGGAATCGTGGTAAAAAACGCTGTCCAACAGACACCACCCGGGACCGGTGTCCAACAGACACCACCCGGGAACGGTGTCCAACAGACACCACCCGGGACCGGTGTCCAACAGACACCACCCGGGACCGGTGTCCAACAGACGCCACCCGGGACCGGTGTCCAACAGACGCCACCCGGGACCGGTGTCCAACAGACGCCACCCGGGACCGGTGTCCAACAGACACCACCCGGGACCGGTGTCCAACAGATGCCACCCGGGACCGGTGTCCAACAGACGCCACCCGGGACCGGTGTCCAACAGACACCACCCGGGACCGGTGTCCAACAGACACCACCCGGGACCGGTGTCCAACAGACACCACCCGGGACCGCTGTCCAACAGACGCCACCCGGGACCGCTGTCCAACAGACGCCACCCGGGACCAGTGTCCAACAGACACCACCGGGGACCGGTGTCCAACAGACACCACCCGGGACCGGTGTCCAACAGACACCACCCGGGACGGTGTCCAACAGACACCACCCGGGACCGGTGTCCAACAGACACCACCCGGGACCGGTGTCCAACAGAAACCACCCGGGACCGGTGTCCAACAGAAACCACCCGGGATCGGTGTCCAACAGACACCACCCGGGACCGGTGTCCAACAGAAACCACCCGGGACCGGTGTCCAACAGAAACCACCCGGAACCGGTGTCCAACAGACACCACCCGGGACCGGTTTCCAACAGACACCACCCGGGACCTCCTCCTGTACAAAGACGACTGTGCACTAAACGCTGTATCAGAAGTGGATACAAACTTTTGAAGCGTCACAAACTTGTCAAATGCCTGCACAAACTTGTCAAATGCCTGCACAAACTTGTCAAACGCCTGCACAAACTTGTCAAACGCCTGCACAAACTTGTCAAACGCATTCACAAACTTGTCAAACGCCTGCACAAACTTCGGGCTCACGATTAAAACAAAAAAGACTGAAGTCCTATACCAGCTAACTCCTTGAAGACCTTTGTACATTTTCATGGCCAAAGACTTAGATGGTGAATTGCTTTTCTCCCCTTGGCAGCACACTGTCCCAAAGCGCAATCATCGATGACGAGGTTAACCTCCGTGCTGCAAGAGCCAGTGCAACCTAGGGCAAACTGTCTAAGAACGTATGAACCAGAAGAGGTATCAGCACTCAAACTAAATTAAATGTTCTTCTTACGCTTCTCTACGACTGTGAAACGTGGACGGTTTGCCAACGCCATGCAAAAATACTGAACTACTTTCATGCAACAAGACTCAGAAAAATCCTTAACATCAAATTGCAAGACAGGGTCCCACACAACCAGAGACTGAGGTGCTCACACAACCAGACACTGAGGTGCTCACACAACCAGACACTGAGGTGCTCACACAACCAGGTCTGAGGTCTCCCAAAAAATGGCGGTTGCCAATCATTGCCATGCTTGAACTTCCTCTCTTCTAAAGTTACAGACCTAATCATGCATCCAAGTAACGCACTTTATAATAATCTCCGTTAGGAATTAAGCCTCACCCCCCCCCCCCCCCGGGGCCGCCTTGTACGAAACCGCACACTTTTTTCATGACACTGAACTATATTAATAGTCTAACGTCCCATATCCTTAACACCGCGGCTATATTACATCATATTTAAATTGAGACTATTTCCGCACAACGAAAGAACAAAAGAAAATGTTACGAATTTATCGTGAAATGTATTTTGCGCGTTATTGAACTCACCATCACATCAGACTTTCTTTCATACTTTCTTTCATACTTTCTTACTTAAGATAATTATGCGTAAATGTATTGATATTATATACCTATCTACAATATAAATCTCAGTGCAACTATGTTTGTTCGTAACTGAGTCAAATTTGACATGGTTATCCTCCTGACTTGTAGATGATTCCTGGAAAGTTTGGTCATAATACCCTCATCACAATGGCTGTTAATTTTAAAATTGTGAAATGTAGAGTGTAAATTATTTAGAAAATAAATAGGGCCAATTATTTTTGAAACGACTTAGAGGGACTTTCAAGTTAAACATTATTTTTTGGTGTACGCATTTTAATATACAAGTCTTTTTTTTCAGAACGGAGCGCTTTCAGGCATCAATTAAAGGGAGGTTTTCGTTGGTCACACATTTTAAATAAAGCTTTATTCTGTGTGCTTTCAACAAATATTTGAAACTAGCTGGGGCAACTTCAATACGGGAAGGAGTCCATAATATGTGTATATATATGGTCCTTCGTATGCTCAGATGACCAGGCCTCGACTTGAGCAGTAGCCTTGAATTGAGCTGTATTTTGTTTACACTGTGGGGGGGGGGGTTGCTCAATTCGGCAGCCTCATTCTCTCGTCCGTGCCTATTTGTTCCAACGGCAAGACTTAGCCAAGACGACTGGAAATAGACCAGGATGCAGTGGATGATCAACTTTGTTACCTGTATCTCACTGTGCTCTTATGCGTTCCACGTCGCAGGAGTTATCGGAATTTTCGTTATGTCAATGTCATAGCACACACGGGACTCCTTCTTCGGGTTTAATTTCAAAGTTCACCTTCTCTTAGACGAGTTGCCATTCAAAGTTAATGAGTCCCATCGGCGTGTATTAAGGATTTTTTGGCATAACTAGGGTCTTACAAAGGGTTCTTTTATTTATTTCATTAACAACTGTATATAGTAAATGTGTGTGTGTGGGGGGGGGGGGGGAGAGATAATTGCAAGATAGAAATTTAGTTCAAAATCAGCATTACATTACTATGGAACTGAATGGATGGGTGCATTTTATTGATAATTTAAAACTCAACTTTAAGAATGGGTCCCCACCGGGGCCCTTATTTTAACTTTAATGGAAAACGTTTAGAGTGAGGGCATTTTGATTTAGATGTTTTACTTTTGAAATAATGAAAAAGAGATAATGTCACAAACAATTTGTGTAAATAAAACATGTGTCAAGCTTTAATTACGATTACACAAAATACAAATGTAAACGTTTCGGCAAATTCTCCATAGGTAGAACAAAATAACATTCAAATATGTATACATTAAATTTACATTATATATATAACATATAGCAAAAAAACAACAACAACAACAAAAATAAAAAATTACAGCACCAGCAACCCGGGTGGGTGGGACTCATTAACCTTGGATGGCAACTCATCTAAGAGAAGGCAACTCTGAACCCAAGCCCGGAGATGGAGTTCGATAGGCGGATAACATTGGCACAATGAAACATTCCGACAACTTCTGCGACGCCACTGGTACCAAGCTGTATCATCCACATGATGTTCCCTTGGGTTATCCAGCGGCGTGGAGGGAACCAGCTAATAATCCTCAACAATAAAAAAAAGAATAATCCCATTGTGACGGACGGACACCAGTTGCAATTCTTTTAATAAACGGTGTACCATTTTTAATAATTTAATAAACTATAATTCATGGCATTGTATTTGTATATAAATGGGGGAAAGGGATGTGCATACTATTACAAGTATCACATGGTTCAGTGGAATGAACAGCGTGCTTTGGCGCACCTGCCTGGGACTAGGGGTTACAGTGTGCTTTGGCGCACCTGCCTGGGACTAGGGGTTACAGTGTGCTTTGGCGCACCTGCCTGGGACTAGGGGTTACAGTGTGCTTTGGCGCACCTGCCTAGGAATAGGGGTTTACCACTTAGAGTTTTTGTTATCATTTATTAATTTTTATTGCCACTTTTACATGAGTCTGTTGGGAAGGGAGAATCACAAGTTTGAGATTAGGCCGCAAACAACATTTAGTAAATATATGAATTTGGGTTGTAACATTTTTAGGATACCAATGTCTCAAAGGCATAATTTGTTACACATGTAACAATGTCAGTCAACAATGAATTACAGTTTTTTAATAAAATTATTTTCAAGTTGTACATTTATTATAATTATAAGCTTTTACAATACAAGACAAAATAAGTTTTAACCAAATTTTTATCCTGACATCCGATAATCACAGATAATTACAGACAGTATCAATCCTGGGCTCTGAATAAAAGTCTTGAGAGGAAAATAGTCACCAACGATATGAAATGTTTAATGCGAGATGCTGGCAAAACAACGAGGGACCACATTCTGAATCGGGAAATAACACTGAACACAAATTGTTGGTGCCATCCAAATCAGCCAGTAGCCTATATGGCACAACAACAAATAATGGGTTCGGACACCCGGTCAGAATGCTAGTCAATGCTCTCAAACAACCTGCCTTGCAATTGTACAATGGCAGGCACTCTGGTTTTAGGAACATTACCTGAAACTGGAAAGGATGTGATTCAATGTTTACAATAATTATTACCATCTTGTCTTTTTTTAATAGGAGAAACGTTAAAAAAGAACTCTCTAAAAGATAAGCAAATACTCAATTCCGCTATTTTATAGACATTATTTACTCCTGGTTTTATGACTCATACATTTTTACTCTTAAGATCAAAACTGATGATGATTCGAGACAGTACTTAAGCCAAGCAACTAAGAAAGACCTTATAAAGACCTAGTGCTGAGAGAAGAAACATGATTTCATTTACATTTAAGATTATAGACTATAGTGTACAAACTTTTGCCTTCAATAATTTGTGTATTTAAACTTTAAAGTAATTCAAATTAATATTGTAATGTCTTTCTGTTTAAGACATTTAGTGTGATATCTATCGGCATCCTTCCGTCTCGTGAGACGATGGTGCATCACCGTTGGGTTGGGTTGCATTTTCTCGAGTGGCTGTGCAGTCCTATCCTTGAGTGACAGTCTTTACCACAGTTTTTACACACGAGTTCTGTGCTTCCCAATGTTTTGGCCTTTCTCCTAGCTCTTCTGTCTGCAGCCTCTTCCATTCTTCGCTCCTCGGCTACCATGACGCCCTCTTTGACAACTGTGCGCCACGTAGATCGGTCTTTTGCCTTACACTCCCAGTCACTTGTATGTATTTTGGCTGCTTTCATGTCCCTTTGACAGACATCTTTAAATCGCAGACATGGTCGACCTGTTTTCCTCTTTCCAGCAGCAAGTTCACCATATAGGAGGTCTTTCGGAATGCGGCCGGGACTCATTCTTTTAACATGACCTAGCCATCTCAGGCGTCTTTCACTAAGGATTGTGAACATGCTTTGGGTATTCGCACGCATTAGGATGCGACGCAGGCATCTCATATGGAAGCTATTAAGCTTGCGCTCTTGGGATGTATAGGTGGTCCATGTCTCGCTCCCGTATAGTAGTGTACTGATGACACAAGCTCGATAGACGCACAGTTTGGTTTTCTCCGTTAGCTTGGTGTTTTGCCAGACCCGTTTATTTATTTTAGCCATTGTGGCAGCTGCCTTGCCTGTTAATTTCTTCTTCAATGGACAGTGTATTGGAGACCTTGGACCCCAAGTAGGTGAAGCTGTCCACAACCTCCAAGTTTTCATTTTCGATTTTTATGTTAGGTGGAGGTCGAGTGTCTTGGGCTGGCAAAACAACGAGGGACCACATTCTGATACAAACTGTATATTGGATAACATCAAGAACAGAAGTTCAAGAACTCCTTGTATTTATTTTTAATAGCAAATTTTTTAACATTAGGCAACTAATATGTTACCAGTACTTGTATTTAATTGTATTTGTATGTTTTAAAAAATGAATCTGACAGGGAAAACTGTATTATGAATCTTACAGCTCAGTATAAAGTATTCAATTCTTGAATCGCTATTTTTTTTTTTTTTTGAACATGGAGAACATTTAAAATCATTTTTGTTCCTGCTGCATCAAAACAAAACAAAAAAAATCAATCCATAGAAATAATTCGGATCAAATAAGATGAAAATACAATTTGATGTTGGAAATTAGTCTGATACAGAAGTTGTTCAAATCTGAATGAAAGAGGTAGGCCTACTCAACTTAACTTCGATGCTTGGCTGAAGTCATTTAATTACTCATCAACTGTAGAATGCTTTCTTCATATTACTATTTCCCAAAAATGCTGATTCTTTTTAATAATTTTTGTATAATTTAAACTGGGGTACGTAAAAGTATTTCATATTTCTATAACTTATATTATTGTCCCATCTTTAGACATATATTATATTTTTGGCTTATAGATTAAGTAAATTATCAGCAGAATCTTTTCTTTTAACCAATGATTCATTGATCCTGCCCATGTCTTGAACATTTAAATCAGGGAATCTAGAATCCATTGTCACATTTAAGCCAGTATCTGGGTCAAAAGCACTATGGACTGCTCCAGGCCACTGGAGCCGTAACAGAGATGGAGTCATGACAAGTCCACCAGAACTTTCAGGACATGTGGCAGCATCATAGTACTTAATGACCCTGGTGCCATCAAGAACTTCTTTCTTGATGCGGCCCAGAGTGATAGACCTAGACATACCGTGGGCATGTGATATAATGGCCACCCAGCTGTGCTGATGTTTCTTCCCATGAACTTGTTGGGTTTTATGTGTGCTTTTGACCATTTGATTATAGCTGGATTTGACATTTTTAATCAGAATTCCAAGAGTGTTGAACAAGTCTTTGTCATGTGACATAACATGCAGGGTCACGTGGTCTTGGGAATCATTGACACCAACAATTGCAGCAACATGCCCATAAACAACTTTTTTCTCATCGGGCGTGTCAAAGAAAAACTTGACTGTAGCATTGTCAGCCTCAGATTTGTCAAAGATGATATGCTTGTTGGTGTGTATATAGACGCCACTATAAAAAAAATGCTTGTAACTTCCCTCTTCAGCACTGCTTGATGTGCTGGAGGTGCTCATGTTACTGGAATTTCGTAAACACTGTCGCGTCGGAGGACTGGTGCTGTTCTCATTCACGTTTAAAGCCTCTTCACCCACAGTTGTCAATGGGCAATCATCTCTCCGGCATCTAAATTTCATAAAATGGTCATCCACGTTGGCTATGAACCCAGAGCCATTTCTCCTTCTGTTTGTGCCAATGTATTTGCTGTATGAATCATCATGTCCACGAGCTGCACTGGTGGATGTTACAGAAATCTGTACCACCAGCTGAGCAACACAGTTGAAGAAAGTCAAGCTGTCCTCATGCTGAATCTCAAGGGGAAGATTTTTTACCTATTAAGATTAAAAATAGATATGCATCTCAATAAATTGAAATATAATATAAAATAATTTAAACAGGAATTTTATTGTTAAGAATCATTGTAAAGGTGATAACTTGCATTTTAAATTTACCATGTTTAAATTTTCAAATAAGCCAATCTCTCATTATTTGGTCTGTCATTTTCATAATTCTTCATGTTGAATTAGCTGTAAACTTGTTTTTTCTTAAAAGTACACTTCATGATAATCCTGTTCTCAGTATGGACCTCTTCTTCCAGTCCACTATTCTTGTGTTGAAAGAGATTGAATAACAAAATTCTGATCATTAAATTAAAAAAAACTAAGGCTTATCAGTTATATCCAAATTATCGGTTAGTTTAGAAACCAATATTAACATCTGTAATGCTTATAGAAATATAGAAAAAAGGGAAAAGTAGGTTTTTTAAAAGAGGTGTCATTAAATTTTCACTTACCATTAATTCACTTAGAGAAAAGAAAGCTTGATGACCAGGATTTTTAAAACATGTATTGCACTTTGCAAGGTCAGTGTTGGCTTCATGAGATTCTTGTAATTCATACAAGGAATCACTAAAATTGTTATTGTTACTATAGTTCTTGTTTATAACGTCTTTATTTTCTAAGCATATTTTTTTATTTTTCTCATTCAAATGTTCATGTTGTGCAGAAGACACTCCTGAAATTTCATCACAAGACAACTGATTTGCAGATTTGACACTTACTTCAGGATGACATAAATCATGATTAGATAGGGGCTGCAAGATTTTTTCTTGTAAAATTAGATTATTATTGATTACATCTTGCTCTTTAGGTGAAATTAAATAAGTACTGTCATTGGCCGGCAGCACACAAGTTTTCAGCGACTCCAAATTTGTATGCTTAATTAAATTATCTAAACTACCCAAACTGTCACCAGACAGTGGGGAAGTTACAGTTGTTGGAGAGCTTAGAGCAGAGTTGGGTAAAGGCCAGCCTCCATGTTCAGATCCTAGTGAGTCACAGGTCGAAGGTGAATTTAATGTACCACTAATAGACTCCAAAAACTCCAGAGATGCCAAAGGCTGAGGATCCCTGTATGACAACCTCCTTGATTTTATTTTGGGAGTTTGTAAGTCGAAATCGAGCGTATTAGGCTTTGAAGCAGGAATTATTTGATTTTCACTTTTCTCATGATGTTCATGTTGAGTCCTCTTTTTTGTTGTGCCCGTCAAGTAATTCATTTTTATTGCACCTTGAGATAACTTCAGTAATTAAAATGAAGTTCAAACTTGATTTCAAGGTTTGATGAATAGGTAGACCTAAATACCCCTACAGTAACTTTGACAATTCACTCATTTTTTTCTCAGAATTCCTAAAGATTAACTACTACAAGATTTCTTCAACCTGTGAAAAATAGAAATGTTAAAAGTTTTAAACTTTCTAAATACAGTATAATGAAGTACATCTTAACCTTCCGTCGGGCGCGTCTGATCATATTGATACAAGCCAACCATTTTTTTTTTTTTGCATACGTTAATGAGAGATTACAGCGAGCTTTCCTTTCATGTATAGGCCAAGACTGTTTATTGTGTAGAAAACTCTTTTAGAGTGCATATTTTAACTGTTTTGTTCAAATTGATACACTGCGCCTCTGCTAATACTTTTTTTTTTTAGACAGTTGTATTATTTTCTTGCTCTGTTAAGTTAATTTGTTCATATAGTATATCTACTGATACATTATCTTATGATTATGTGTTTTTAAATAGTAAAAATCATAATGATACAATGCTCCCAAATGAGATATTTATACTGAGCCTTATATATTTCAGGTTACTTCTGCTGTCTAACATGGTGGACATGTAGTTATAGGAAAAAATGTTTGATCTTAAGAATCTTAAGTATATAGGGTAATAATAAAATAAACTAATTTAACCGGTCACTCATTAGCGATATCCAATTTATACACTGCACCCGGTCCGGTTGCAAAAAGAGCGGTTAAATATTTTATTGCATTCTTAAATGGAAATAATATTTACAGATACTAATACCAATATGGACAACATTCATGGTCTGGCTTTCATAACCTAAAAAAATTAATACTTTAACTTAAAATAAGTAATGAAACACTAAGTTAAGTTTCTTTTCTTTTTGTTTCTTTACCATGATTAAGAGGGATATTTTTTCTTCTTTCTCAGATATTCTAATTAAAATTAATATAATTTTTGATGAACCATAAAGGATCGGGGAAACAATGTGACAATTATTGACAAGGGGGATGCGGCAGTCAAAATAAATTGACTTTAACAATTTTTTTATCTAAGATTTATTTGTTTAAAAAATGTAAAACCATTAATAGGCCTTGATAGTTTGTTGCTAACAATGTTTATAATTTCAAATATTCAGAATAGCTCCAATGATGTGTTTTTGGCCAAAAGAAATTTAAGTGCTACCTGCTCCTGAAACAAAAAATAGATGCAGCCAATTTGAGTGGTTACCAAAAGACAGGGAGGGGTGATGCCAATTATAGCACATAGGGAAAAGTCTGATATTTTTGCGCTGAATGGTTAGACGAGGTGATGATGATTACAAAATAATATAATATAGAATGAATTAAACAATTCCTGTAGTAGGGCCTACCGTATGCAACAGAGGCGCATTAGGCTTATCAACATGAAGACTAGTCATACATTTACAATTTACAATGTTTGTGATCATAATATAAAGTCTTTGATAAATTCAGTAGTTTTTGTTTCCAGTTACAGTTGGTTTCTATATCTGCATTTATTAATTTATTTTCTCAAGGGAGGGAGAAGCATCCGAGGGGGGTGTTTGCAATTTTTAACATTAACATGTTTTTTGTTTTTTTTAATTTTCATCTTAGTTCTAAATCATGATTGTTGTACCCCCATCATCTTATTCTTAGACTTAGTCTTTAAATTTTTTTTTTTTTTTAAATGTGGCACAAACTCACTTTTGTTTTTGTTGCTATACTAAAACTATATTTCATCTTATATTATAAATTATGAGGGTTTTATTTTTTTAAAAATTGACTTTTGTTATGTGTAGGCTGTACTTTTATATTTCACCGAAGTTTATTCAGGATTTATTATGACTATGATTGTCAATGACATGAATGTTTTATTATAATAATGACAATAATGATTAGTCAATGATATTGACTCACCTATTTACATTTTTCATTGTAAATAAATTTGCAATGATGCAATGTTTTCAAAAGCTAGAAGCTTCATTGTCACGATGAAGTTGTCTTTGTCCTGCTCTAGCTAATTTCTAAATCAGGATCTTTTAGCTCTTCCAAGTTAAAACTTTGATTATACCATTTTACCTTTCTATTCTTTATTTACACACATTGACAGTTTCCGTGAATCCACAATCATCCCTCACTTCATTCCGCTTAACTACTACTTAAGCGTCTGTGAAAAATTGTGATGTTTCGCTTTGAAGTGCTATTTAAACGGTTATTCAAATTCCAATCCAAATAAATCGAACAGTTTTTATGACATTGTACAAATTTATTTCAGCGCTGCTTAAGGCTGCAACTTGGGTCTGGGTTACCAAGCGTCCGGGTTTCCCCGGGCATGTCTTCTTTTAGGCCCCTGTCCGGGTGACTTTCCAGAAATATGGACAAATATGGCTTTTGTCCGGGGTTTTCCCCTGTCCGTCACCAAACGATACCTTCCTACTTACTTTTCCGTGTTTTAACTATTCTCACAGCAATATTTTGTTTAATGGTAATGGTTACTAAGGTAACCATTGAAACTTAGGGTTCCGGGAGCGATTTTGTAAAACCGCATAAAGGTTAAGGGGGGGCCATCCATAAATGACGTCACTGTCACACCTCTACCCCCTCCCTCCGGGGGGGGGGGAGGGGGTGTCATATTTTTGTGACGATGTATGAATTTTGTAAAACCGCAAAAAGGTTAAGGGGGGGCCAACCATAAATGACCGCACTGTCACCCCTCCCCCCCCCCCCCCCGGGGGGGGGGGGAGGGGGTGTCATATTTTTGTGACGATGTATGCCTCAAGCAATGTGACATCACATGAAAAGCGGATTATTTTAGTAAAGAATTGCACTTAACAACCCTAAATTACAGACATTTTTAACATTTTTCTTTTATACAACAATTATAATTATTTTATTTTTAAATTTGATATTCATGGGAGGTGACTTTCTAAAGGGTTTGTAAAGGACTGTAGTGGATTTTAATTTTTAGTGGGGTGGTGCAGAGATTTGTGACGTTATATTTGGGGGAGGGGGTGTCTAACTTTTTGTAACGATTTTGGTGCGGGGGGGGGGGTAAAATTGGCCAAAATTTGCGTGACGTCATTTATGGAGGGTCCCTAACGGGAGTACATGATAAGTGCATAATAATTAATTGTTCACTTATGTGTGGTCGTAGCTCTAAATGCACTCCTGTAAATTTTAACTGTAGTAAAGTAATACCACTTCCGTCTGGCACATCAACGAGATATCAGCGCCCAATGAGCCCACTCTGTCCTTTTAATTATGTATCACCGATAACCCAGTGGCACACTCTCTCTCTCTCCACTGTCCTAGCACTAATTATTATGGGCACTTTTTTTTTTTTTTTACAATTAAAATGTTGTTGTTTTTTTTAAATTATTATTACTTTAACAACAGTTTACAGTATCCCACCATCTTGCCACCCTTTAAACCAGCGGTTCTCGTCCTTTAGGGGTCAAACGACCTTTTCCTAGGGGTCCCTAAGAACATCGGAGACCTACTCTACAGTTATGAAGTAGCAACGAAAATAATTGTGTGGCTGGGGGTCGCCACAACATGAGGAACTGTATTAAAGGGTCGTGGCTTTAGAAAGGTTTTGAACCACTGCTTTAAACACTAATTAAAACTGTATAATGTAATTATTTTGTATTTACTTCGTCTGATTGACTGATTGGACATATCCGCCCACCGGTGGTGACAGCAGCTGGAGGAGTGAGGGACAAGGTGAAAACTGATGCGACAATCCAGGCCCGTACAATTGATGGGCCCCGATAACTTAGGAGACTAACCAGTTTCATTACTTTCTGTTCACTTATTCACTGACCCTATTAGCTGACATTGTATTCTGTTTTCTATTCATCCTTGCTGTCATCAAAAATCGACTCTCAAAATCCTCCCTTGGATCAATACAATCATAGGAAACGTTTACGGCTTGTGTTGTTTCACTCACTTTCTCTTTTCTCCCTTTTTAAATTATATAACTTGTTATGTACGAAGATGTTCCTCACTACTGAAAATTTTGCCAATACAAGTACGTTTATGATCAAATTTAACCTCAACCCTGATAATATCTGGATCCTTTTTAGCGGAACTTCTAACAAGCCTGAGGCAAGTAACCCTCTTGTCATTATTTAGCTAATCCGGCGCAGCTGGTACATAACATTGCTCAAGGTGGTCCAAAGAGATGCTATAAAAAGTATAGTATAATGCCAGTGTTTGTTACATTTTAAAAATGATATCCAGTCCGAAATCAAAAACACACAAATAAAATGTAGTGATAAATGAAATTTTAGCCTATTCTTCTTCTTCTTCTATATCTTAAGGACCCACGATCAATTTATTGATCATTTTGGCTCCTATGCATGTAGATGGGATTTGCAATGTTTCTGTTACTGGTGTTGATGAGGAAATCATGCACTAGGGGTTTGAAGGCTGGATGCAATAGACACAAATGTGTCTAGTGTTGTCGCCTCAACAGTTCCTTTTGAAAGATTGTTCCAGTCCCTGATTGTCTTGGGCAGGAATGAGCAGCTCCTATACTGGCTTCTTGCTGGTATGAGCCTGAATTGCCTGTCATGACCTCGTCGCTGTCTATGGGGGAGAGGGACGAGTTTCTGTTTAATACTGGAACAGTGGACCAGCCCATTATTTATCTTGTACATCATGGAGAGCCTGGATTGTCGTCGTCCAAAGAGGTTACCACTGGTCGGATCACAAAGATCGATTCTGCCAACACTAGAGGTATTCCTGTAGCGGTTTAGGACAAAGCGTGCTGCTCGTCGCTGGACCGCCTCCAACCTGTCAATGCTCTTCTGGGTAAATGGGTCCCAGACTGAAGATGCATAATCTAAAATCGGACGGATAAAGGCTTTATATGCTCTTTCTTTCAAATATTCAATTGGTACACCTTTAGAGAACCCCCGCTCTACCACAAATAAAACAAAGTCAAAACACAAAATCTCAAGCTTGAGACTTTAAAAAATAACAATTCATTAAGAATGATAGCAAATAAAACTTACAGTTTCTACGTCAAGAATCTCAAAACAATACTAGAGCTACGCCAAATATATTTCTACGATCCATCAACTGTAACAAGCAGGAAATTCTTCTTTTACTAGCCACTAATTGCTTATATGAATGGTTGTGAATAAATGACCAACCAGTTCCTATGTGTCATTGTAAGTGTGTGTTTGTTCACCGAGTATTAAAATAGCATTAAATCCGGGTTGGGTAAATCCAAGGAAGTGGGACACATGCCTTTGCAAAACTAATATGTGACGTGTTTTGACACTTTAGGTATTTAAGAGCTATCGTAATAAGTATTACTTAGAAGTAGTGGCGTAGCTAGGGTTTGTGCCACCCGGGGCGGGTAAAAATTTATGACGCCTCCCATAAAAACAAAACTCTACCGTTGGCTGAAAATCCCACCCCTCAATATAAAGTCGAAAGTGCAACCCGGGGCGCATCGCCCCTCCACTCCACCCTTCCTTCGCAAGTCGCAAGTACTTCTTACGTCCAATAATTTTGTCTCAATCTGCTATTTTTCATTCGGTCTTCAAAACGCAGGAATGCACGCATTGGCCGGTCTGAATTTATTTGTTTCATCATTGAACAATCAATTTAATTCGGAGGGCCACAGAAGAGATGATAGCTAGTGTAAATTTAGGTGTCGCTTGACCTGGTTATCTTTATACTAAATTATACAAATTCTTTATTTTTATTTGCTACTAAATATCGTTTTATAATTTCTATTTAAACTATTTCTAAGCGATTCATTATTATTTTTTAATTATTCCAAAAAAAAAAAAAAAAATTAAAAATTTAAACAATGTTTTTTTTACCCTGTCCTCCTAACGTCATCAAGTCAACTTGTCTAACACAGTCCTTTGATTGATAACTGCCACTCTATTTTTAGTCGGCTTGTTTAGTTTAACCATGGTTCAGGTACTTTTTTTTTAAATCTCCCTTTTTTTTTTTCTTTTCTTTTTTTTATCAATTGATCTGAATTTAAATAGGGGATTTTAAAAAAAAACTAGCATTTTATTCTCTTAATCCATAAATATATACTTATGTCTTAGGGTTCTACTTTCTTATATGTTAACGTAATAACTACTTTATTTTTTAGTTTAACCATGTTTCAGGTTCTTTTTTTTTAAATCTCCCTTTTTTTTTTCTTTTCTTTTTTTTATCAATTGATCTGAATTTAAATAGGGGATTTTAAAAAAAAACTAGCATTTTATTCTCTTAATCCATAAATATCTACTAATGTCTTAGGGTTCCACTTCATTATATGTTAACGTAATAACTACTTTAAGTATAGACCCTAGTTCTGAGAAGCCATGCCAATTAATGTGTCTTATGTTACTTCGTGCCTATCAAATTGTGATAACGCCCCTTCTTAGAGATTTCCGTGAAATTTTTACTGTCTCATGACCTCAGAGAATGTAGGTCACATATAAACCAATGAATAACGTCAAAAGATTATGTATACCAGTGGTTCTCAACCTTTCTAATGCCGCGACCCTTTTTTACAGTTCCGCATGTTGTGGCGACCCCCAACCACAAAGTTATTTTCGTTGATATTTTATAACTGTAGACTATAATATGTGTTTTCCGATGGTCTTAGGCGACCCCTCTGAAAAGGTCGTGCGACCCCCAAAGGGATCGCGACCCACAGGTTGAGAACCGCTGATGTATACCTACCTAATAGGAAACGCAGACACCCAAACAGCTTAAGTCAGTGGGCCTACATTTTACATGGCGCGATGTAATCAGAACGCGATTTAGCCTTGATATGAAAGCACATTAAATTACATGATCAGATTCGTCGCCTTAAACGCAGGCAGCCAGAAAACAGGGGACTTTCCCCAACCACTCATGCGGACATAAGCTGTTAAATCAAGGGGTCTCAGTTTTTGTACCCCAATCTGCGGTAAGCCTACTCAGTGGCGTAGCTAGGGGGTGCGGGGGTGCGGACCGCACAAGGTGACACCATCTCAGGGGTGATACCATCTCAGGGATGACACCATCTCAGGGGTGACACCATCTCAGGGGTGACACCAAATGAAAAATTACATATTTACAAAGCACACACTGCTCGGCCTAACCAAATGTCATAAAAGGATAACCGATCACATGTAAATTTTCCACG